GAAGTAAACCACAACATTCATTTTGGGAAACTGTGGCACTGTCTCCTAAAATTGAAAATACTTGTACCCTGTGACTCAGCAATTCTACTTCTAAATATATACTCTGCCCTGAAATATGCTCACAGAAATTAAAAAGATGTCAATGAATGTACATAGCATTATTTGAAATCGCCCAAGACTGTGAAGAACACAAATGTCCGCTGACAACAGAATGGGTAAACAGTGGTACATCCATGCAAGAAATGCACTGAAAGGTGTATTCATTGAAAGCAATCAATGATCAGCTACAACTTTGTGCAGTAAAGCGGATGAATGGGCTCAAGCAGCAACCGAAGTAACAAAAATGAGCCTACCCTGAGCTAGAGAAAAGTGAACACTACAAACAGAGAAGCCATCGGATTGGAGGCATCCTCAGTCCCCAGGCCCCAATCCTGCAGTCCAGGCATTGCCACGTCCCTCTCCCGCTTCTCTTTCTTGCAGGAAAGAGAGTGTTCCTTTTGTCATCTGTCCTGTGCTCTGGATCCCTTCTCATTTCTGAGTCTTCAATTCACCTTCTTGTTGGGAGCCCCCTTCTCTCCTAAGGTTCCTTATCCCAGCAGTTATTTGTTTGCAGTTAGCCTCCCTGTCAAAGTGTGAGCTCCTTCCAGGTAGATACCCCTTCCAGGCAAATGTCCTCCTACATGGCCAGAGTTTCAGAGACACATGAAAGAGGCTCAGTGACCACAGTTGTTTGATTGATGTATGGTCCCACTCTGCCTCAACTGTCAACATGGCCCTTAGCAACAATCTGGCTCTTGGCCAGGTTCCCATCCTCTTCACCTGTGAAGAATTCTCTGGTCTCTGGGACTAGACCCTCCCCTTCTTCCTCCATGCTCTTTCAAAGAAGGTACTGAGAATGTCTGAAGCAGAAAAGCAAGAAGGAGTAAGCTAAATTTAATTGAGGGTCTACAGCACACCAGGATGTATGATAGGCTATCTGTATTTTTTCTCTTCTATTTAAAAAATAATTTAAATATCAAAACAACCTTTTGAAGTGGTTGTCATTATTTTTTTTTCAAGTGCTTGATCTGAGGTTTAAGAAAGGTGAATAATTTGCGCACAGTCACCAGAGCGAATTGACTGGCTGCAGGCTTGCTGCCCCGCCTCTTCCCCTGTCTGCCTCCCCTGCTCTGATCAGAAGGTGTAGGTATGTGGAAAGAGTATCAACTACACCATTAGACTCTAGCCTGAGCTCAAAACTGACTTCTACTTCCTAGAAGCAGGGAGGCCTTGAGCAGCTAACCTAACCTATTTGGGCCAGGCCAGTATTCACACAGTGTTGGGGAGGAGTGGCTGTAGCCAAAGCTCAGGGGCAGGTTTCACAGGGCTGCGGGTTCATATGTGTTTCAGCCTCTGCCCTGTCCTGTCTCTGAATCTGAGAGGAGAGTCTGGGGGTCTGTGGTGGAGTTTCCCAACCCCCAAGCTACCCTACTGGCCATGTGTGATGTGCTAAACTTGCAGGACATCCCCCACAGTGTATTGGACACTACAAAATCCTCCTCCTCATTCAGGGCCCATTTCTACCATCTCAAGTTCTGCCTGGGCAACACTAATCTCTTGAGTCTTATTTGGATGCCTTGGTTCAGAAAAGGCTAAAGTTTCCCAAACAAGGTCTCCATCCCCTAGTTTCTACTCTTCCTGCCTTAATGCTGTAACCTCTTTCATAGACTGTTGCTTTGGCTCCTTACCAGTCTCCTTTCTTCTGATCTCTTCATACTGTCCCTCAGCTTCTTCAGATCAAATGTTTGTCCATTCTTCAAAGCTCAATCATGGTGCCATCTTCCCTGATCTTTTCCACCAGAGTTAAAAGCTCTTGACTGGAAATTCTGCAAAGGCCTTTTCCACCTTTGTTATGGCATTTGTATTATGGCTCTGTGGGTTGGTCTGTGTCACCTCTGATGTCTGTGCCTTACTAAGTGCTTGAATGAGTGGATAAATGAGAGGCTAAAACATGGGTAGTTCTTACAGTGGTCTTCCTCTTCTCCATTACTGGGCAACTTCAAACTGCATTGAAGCCCCTTCTTGCCCTTTGCTTTTTTCTCTCAAGTTTTCTACTATCACTCTCCTTTCCTCTCCTATTTTTCCCATAGCCCAGCACATCACATGCAGAGGGAGGGGCTCCAGCCAGGGATGCTCTGTAGATGGCCAAGTAACATGCATGGAAGGTTCCAAAATTCTCCAGCTGGTCTGTAGTTCCTTACACCTCCAGAGGCAGGGTTCCTAGAACCTGTTTAGACTTCTTATCTAGAATGCGTTTAATCTTAGAATGGGACTCCCAAACCTGCCTTCTCTTCTTATATTTTAGAGACAATCTTGTGCAACTTATTTTTTCTCCTGTTTAGTCATTCATTCTTTCAATCAGAGGGTGCAATCTAGGGAGAACTTTTACCTTGGACTCTGAAGACCTGCATATAAGGTGGCATCCAAAGCATTGCACCTTGCTGAATCTAGGAATGTCCTCAGGATACTTCCTCTCCCTTACCCTTCACTCTGATTTTTTTTTTTTAATGATGAGCTAGAAAGAGTTGCTTTGAGGCTGAGTTATAGGAGCCCCTGGCAGTGGCAGCCTAACATGTGGTCGCTGTAGGCTCCTCTAAGTCACAGAAGTTGACAGTAAGATCTCAAGGAGAGTAAGAGAAAAAAGCATGTTCTTATTCTGGGAAGGGGATGGCAAGTTATTGAATGCCAGCAAAGCATTTCATGAAACCATGGGGCTGGGGTCTGACTCCAAGCACCTCCCAAAGACCTTGTCCCCTGGTCCTGCTCTTTTCATGGTCTACTAATGTTTGGATGTCTGCTTCTTAACAGAAGAGGGAACCGAAAACCAGGGCATCCGGCTGTGTCCTGGGCCTGAGATCGTGACTCTCACATTAACTATGCTCTTGCCTATCCTACCTGTGTCTGGGGTCTTCCTGTAAGTCTGATTCCATTTACCCAAATAGATCCCCTGTGCCTGACTGCTTCTCCTTTACTTTACAAGTGTTGACTCCGAACTTTCCCAGTGAGTGTTAATTCCAATTGAACAGACATTCTTTGAGTTTCCAAGAGGGTTGTTGTCCCTGTCTTCAAGAAGCCTTTAACTTTGTAGTGTAGCGAAGATACTTCTGCAAAAACAGACATGTAGAAAGTGCTAGTGGATCCTAGGTTAGTTCCAAATGACTAGAAGGGAAGAAGAAGGGCAGGTCTGGAAGGCTTTTTGGAGGAGATGACACTGAACTGGGCTTGAAGGATGAGATCAGAGGGAGATGGGTGGAGAAGGACCCACCTGTTGGGCAAAGGGAGGGACCAGCATTCCACTATGTCTCAAGTAGAAGTTGGAGAGAGATGAAGAAAGAGAAAATTATAAAGGAAGGTTGAAATGATGTCCCTGAGGATCTGCATGCCAACCTCAGAAGCCTAAACATTTTTGTAGAAAAATGTTGAGCCAGAGCAGAATTTTGAGTCAAGAAATGCTCAAATCTCACTCTGGGAGCTATCTTATCCCCAGTCAGTCACCAAATCTACATCCATAACCTCTTTAGAATCCGTCCAAGTCCCTCCATCCTTAGGGTCACCACAGTGTTTGTTCATGCCACCATCTTCTCTCACCTGCGAATGTGCTGCAGTGCCCTAATTTTCCAGTCTCTAGACTCCCCTCCTCCATGGCTGCTGCTGATATATTTTCAACCAGCAGCCACAATTGGCCACTGTCAGAGTGCAAATCCAGTTTCATCAGTTTCCTGCATTGAGACTTCCAAGAGCTTCGTGCTACCTCAAGATAAAGCCAAAATTCCTTTCATATTCCACACTGTCCCTTCCTGTCTTTTCCCATTCCTGTTGTAATCTCTAATTCTGCAATCCCTTTCTTCATGAGAATGCCTCCTTTGCTCATCACCTGGCCTGACCCCTGCAAGTGAGGGGTCAAGGTTCAGCTCACGTGTCATTCCTGGGGAGCCAGCCCTGTCACCCGTCCTATCATCTGGCTTCTTCAGCTCCCCAGGCTTCCTGTTGTTTTAACACTTATCACACAGTATTGAAATGCTATGTTGACTTATTTCCCCGCTACTCTCTGTTTTATTATAGGATCTGTATTCCCACAGAGCAAGTACTTGGAACTCAAAAAGGAAAAAGTTCTCTCAAAGGAATGAATGAACGTTCACTGCCTCTCTGGACCGATGTCTTCTGGCCCCCATGACACCCACACACTCTGGACAAGTTATATGCTTCTATTTCTTCTTCTCTTCTTCCTATTGCCTTTCTGTCCCTAATTCTGCCCAAAGAGGAGCTCTTGTGGTACAAGAGCTATGTGAAAGCCTAGAGTAAGGTACCAAACCACCAGCAGCAGTGGCCTCTGGGAATTAGGACAAGAGTTGATATTTTATTCTTTCCATTTATCTTTAGTTCATTAAATTTTATAATGGGAAATCATTCTTTTTTTAAGAGCTTAGTTTCAGTCAGAATAGCCAAATAGTATATACAGTAAACTATCATCTGTCTAAAAAAGAAAAGCAAAGACATATGTATAAAAGCTCTTTAGGAGCACACGTAAGAAATGCACAGTACCAATCATCTCCTTGGAGGGGAGCTGGGAGCCTAGGACCTGGAGAAACTTTTCACTCCCTCCCTAAGCACATTTTGGATTTTGAACCTCGTGAAAGTATTATCAATGCAATAAATAAATAAATAAAGCATAAACTGAAAGTAGCTAAGCTTGAATTCTACTCCATCAGGTAACTTAGCAAACCTTATCTTCTCCATATGGAAAATGGAGAAACATGCCGACATCACAGGGTTGTTTCAGGGAATGGAAGGCAGCCAAGCTCCGAGGCGCCACACCCAGGCAAGGACAGGCTGTGGCCTTCTCATTCCACCCATCCTTCCCTGGCTCACCCCTTCTCCTCTAAATGAAGCTGTCAAAGCCAAACCCTGTGTCTGCCAACACCCCCCACCCCCCCACCCCCCCGCTGGAAGTGCCTAGCTTGACCCTCTGCCCATTGGAACCCATCTAATAGCATGAAGGAAAAGCCACACTTTGAGGATCTGGGCATTTCAAAGAAGCCAGCAGCTCTTTTTGTTTTCTCGGGCTCTCAGCTTGCCAGCTAGTTCCACACATTAAAAATATTGTGGGTCAGCTCTGCAGTTTTCAACCATAGATTCATTTTGTTTCGTGACTACTTCCTTATGATAGCTCTGGGAAAAACTGCACTGGGCCGAGACCCAAACCACGTTCCTGGCATTGCAAGCTACGTTCAAGATGGTGTCTTCAGTTAGTAATCATGAAAGACGTTGAAATCTCCTGCAACTTACTAGGAATTGGTCTGGAAAAAAAAAAAGAAAGACTGTTTGGATTGAGTTTCTGAAGGGCTGTCATCACCATGACCTTCAAGCTGTTTGAGGCAGGAAGAGGAGCTTAATTTACCATGTTTCTGCCTGTTCAAATAGCCCTGCTTTTCTCTGCAGCCCTGTAGATTTTTTCTCCTGGATGTGGATATATATTGAGTATTGACGAGATGTGTGATGCCGCAGGAGGTACTTGCTTTGTTGCCTGGGATAGGATTACCAAACTTGGCAAATAAAAATACAAGATTCTAGTTAAATCAATGTTCCAGATTAACAATGAGTACATTTTTAGCATAAGTATGTCCCATGCAGTATTTGCATACTTATACTGAAAATCATCCAGTGTTGATCTGAAATTCTGCTCTAACCGAGTATTCTGTATTTTATCTGGCATCCTTGCCCGTGAAAGACACAGGGAGAATCCTTGTTAGCTCTATGGAGGGGACAGCGAGTCCTGTTTCTCTTGCTGTCTGGCCTGGTCCTCTTTCTTTAAGCCAGCCCTCCACCCCTGGGCCACAAGATCAGAATCCAAAGGGACAAGACCCCAGCACGCTTGCTTTGTCACACCTTCTCTTTTGAACACCCTGTCCTGTTCTCCTAGGCTCCTGTTCTGCCTGGACCTTGTCACCATCCCATAGAGCTCCTTTGGGTTGCCTTACCCCCTCTTCAGCAACAGACACACCTTCCCCCATGAGTGTCTTCTGTGTTCATTCGGGCTCTCACCAGATTTGGCCTGTCCTTTTAAGATGAATCTACCTGGATCCAGCTCAGAGAGGAATTTGGTAAAAATGCTGTCAATCCAGAAGCCCTATTTCCATGAAGCCAGTTGCTTTCATTGAGACTGTTGTCTGAAGGTGTGAATGAATTCTGGAGGCAGGAGTACGTGTGTAACTGTGCTGAATTCCACCCAACGCCACCTCTGGTGGGCTTGATCTGTGTTGGACAGGTGGTGATGGGGTGCACTTCCTACAGTTTCTTGTCCAGTAGGTGAATCCTCAATAGAGTCTGGGCCAGAGACCTTAGAAAGAACCAGAAAACAGAAATCAAATCACTTTTGAGCCACTTCATGATGCCAGATGCCCTGCTGGCTCCCAGAGACCCAGGCTCAGTTATTGATTTTGTGTACACTTGTGACTTCCACTGCTTTGACGTGGCCCTGTGCTCCCTTTCAGTGAGAGGCCATATGTACAGAGCCATCTCAACAGCTGGTGGTCACCAACATGGTGTGCAAAGCTGCCCTCTGTGGCTAATATTATGCTACCGAGGACATAAAATACCAAACTCTATGTTGGACTATCTAGGACTGCTGTAATGAAGTATCACAAATTTATTGTCTCACCACTCTAGAAGATGGAAGTAAAAAATCCAGGTGTCTGCCAGGCCGTGCTCCTTCTGAGACCTATAGGGAGGAATCCTTCCTTGGCTTTTTTGGATTTCTGGTGGATTGCTGGCCATCTTTGGTGTTCCTTGGCTTACAGACATATCACTCCAATTTTCCATCTGTGTGCAGCCTCCAACGTGTGTTGTGTCAGCCAAATGCTCTCCATGGACGTGTATTTTAACAGGAATTGGTTGGTTGCTAATAAATAAAAATAGGAAAAGCTCAATACAAAAATCTGGACTTCTACGGGCCTTGGTAATTGTGACCACAGTTTAGGCTTTGTTAGAGAGCAGGTGACAGACTTGTCACACACCAGGGCAAACGAGTTTGCCATATCCTTTTCCAAGGACAAGCACAGAAAAAAGCTGGGAGAAACAGGCTCTGGGCCTTTGAGGTAGGACATGAGGGGAAATAGCACCATACAGCGAGGTTGAGGAAAGGCTGAGAGGTAGGCTCTGAAGGCCTTTTGGGGCCGGGTGTTTTCACATGCAGACCTAGACCTCAGACTCTTTACTTTGTGGCACTGGGCAGTGATCCCAACACTCAAATCAGCGGTCCTGACTCCTTCCAGACCTCAGCACAACCATTGGTCCAGCTTCTCAAGGATTTCCTATTTCTCTGGCAATTTCCTCAATCACCAGAAAAGGATTTTTGAAGGATATTTTTGGAGACTTTTATAATCCATACAAGTTTTGGCTAAGGAAGTGTTTGTTGTGATTCCTGGCTATGCATATGTCCATCTGGTTTCACATGGTTTCTGTGTCTATCCTCACCCTGCAAGTTAATTACAGTTCTAATTTTCAGTAATATTTCTCACATGTGCAATCTTTCTACTACTTAGAGCCTCTGCTGAGAAGAGTTCCACAAATTGCCGTCTGTGTTTATTTTTCTGTTTATAGAGCAGAGTGTGCACATCCTTGGGCCAAGACAATACTGTAGCTAAAACTCTACTTCCTAGTTTGCTCAAAATTTTTATTTTCCTGGTTAAGAACCATTGTTTTCTTAATTTTTAGAAAAGGTTTTATTTATTCATTTGAGAGAGCACGAGGAGGGGAGCAGCAGAGGGAGGAGAAGCAGACTCCCCATCCTGAGCAGGGAGGCCTATGAGAAGCTTGATTCCAGGGCCTTGAAATCATGACCTGAGGCAAAGGCAGATGCTTAACCAGCTGAGCCATCCACAGGCCCCCTTAATTTTTTTTTTTTTAACTTCCACTACTGACACATAGCATTTGGCTTTTTTAGGGCTCTTTTCTATAATGCTACTCATGTTTTTAAAAAAAATTTAAGTATAATATATACACAAGCTAAAAGTTATCATCCTTTCATGAGAGTTGGATTGAGAAGAGCATACTGAGTTTCAGTTGCTGGGTGGTCAGCAAGAGAGGATTTCTGGGAGTGCCAAAGTTCTGGGTTTTTGTGGCCAGATGCACTCAGGTGACCCTGTGTGATAGACATCACAATCATCAATGTGTTGGAAGCAGGATGGCCAGAGCTCAGAGCCCAAGGAGCTTGCCCACGGCCACTCAGCTCTGACAATAGCAAAGAAAGACTTTGAACTCAGGTCTCTATCACATCAAAGCTTACTCCTTCACAAGTGTGCTCTCTTGCCTTCTGGCCAGATGACTGCTTGCCATGTACATCACTACTCAAGATCTTAGAGGGAGCACACTTTTTTGTGGAGAAGCTGGTGGTGGGGAGTTAAGAGGACACATTTATACTTTATCTGCTCATGTTTTATTTGGCTTTGATCCAGTGCCCATTTATTATCTTGATAATTTTTTAAATTTTATTTATTTATTTGACAGAAAGAAAGTGCGCATAAGCATGCAGAGCAACATGCAGAAGCAGAGGTAGAAGCAGGCTCCCCATGGAGCAGGGAACCCAATGTGGGACTCCATCCCAGGACCCCGGGGATCATGACCTGAGCCAAAGGCAGACGTTTAATCAACTGAAGCACCCAGGTGCCCCTACCATGGTAATTTTTAAGAACCAATAAAATATTAAAATCAATCAATAAGTAAAAATAAAGATTTGAAGCCTAAAAGAAAATTAAAGAAACAGAGAGACTCAGCAAAACCACATTTCTCCATGTTGTCAACTTTTATAATTCTTTTTTTTTTTTAAGATTTTATTTATTTATTCATGAGGACACAGAGAGAGATAGAGAGAGGCAGAGACACTGGCAGCAGGAGAAGCAGGCTCCATGCGGGAGCCTGATATAGAACTCCATCCCGCGTCTCCAGGATCACACTGTGGGCCAAAGGCAGGTGCTAAAGCACTGAGCCACCCAGGGATCCCAATGTTTATAATTCTTATACATTTTTGAGAATAGTCAAAAGTGCCATTATAAATCAATGGATGCTGGGAGTCTGGTATTAACTTAGCTGGGTTTTGTCTGGTGTATATGATTGCTTACCTCATGACTTTTTGGGGTATATTTTATAACTATGCATACATAAAGGATGGCAAGCCCCTTCAGAACACTGAAACTCTGTTCTCATTACACGTTTTGCCAACTGTTCTTGGTGGCATCTTGTGCAAATTATGTAAACATCCTCATCATGGGGGCACCTGGGTGGCTCAGCAGTTGAGTGTCTGCCTTCGGCCCAGGGTGTGATCCTGGAGACCCCAGGATCATGTCCCACATGGGGCTCCCCTCAGTGAACCTGCTTCTCTCTCTGCCTATGTCTCTGCCTTTCTCTCTCTGTGTCTCTCATGAATAAATAAATAAAATCTTTTAAAAATACAATAAAAAGGGATCCCTGGGTGGCGCAGCGGTTTGGCGCCTGCCTTTGGCCCAGGGCGCGATCCTGGAGACCCGGGATCGAATCCCACGTCAGGCTCCCAGTGCATGGAGCCTGCTTCTCCCTCTGCCTATGTCTCTGCGCCTCTCTCTCTCTCTCCCTCTGTGACTATCATAAATAAATAAATAAAAATAAATAAAAAAAAGAAATGTTATGTCTTGAAGCCAAGTATACATATTGCTTTGATGAAAATAAAAAGAACAAAAAAGAGAAAGGTACTGTGATATTCAAACAGAGAACTGGCATTGTAAAGTACTTTTGTTTAGAAGGATGAGCCAGCATCTTCGTGTGAGGTGGAAAATGGTCTGAAGGTTTTTTGTTTTGTTTTTAAGATTTTATTTATTCATGAGAGAGAGACAGAGAGACGGAGAGGCAGAGACGCAGGCAGAGGGAGAAGCAGGCTCCGGGCAGGGAGCGGGGCGCGGGACTCCCTCGGGGTCTCCAGGATCGCGCCCTGGGCCGCAGGCGGCGCTAAGCCGCGGAGCCACCCAGGTTTCCCGGTTTGAAGGTTTTTATCCTGCTCCTTTGTTTGAAAGGATTGGGAGCAGCCATCTCGCTGGCTGCAGTGAGGGTCAGGCCACGACCACGCGTTCTCTCGGGATGGGAGCGGCGCCGTCTCTGGGGTCCTGTTACCACCTGCGGCTCCCGGCCTCCGGGCTCCCCCGACCCCTAACACCCGCATCTGCATCCACACGCGATACTTGTTGCTGGAAGCAGCATCCGGAGCTGCCTCTGGTCCAGAGTCAGAGCCGAGAGCCCTGCGGGCAGGCGCAGCGCGGAGGCAAGGACCACGAGGCGCGGCGCGCGGGCGCAGGTCCCGGCTTAGGGCGGCTGGAGCCGAGCGCGAGGACCGGCCGGCGGGGGGCGCCACGGACGCGGAGCCTGCAGCGCCACGGGGCGGGGCGGGGCGCGGGGCCAGGCCGGTCCTCCGCCCGGTGCTCGCGGCTGCCTGCGGGCCCGCGGGGGCCGCGGGGCTGCGCTCCCCCGGGCTCGTCTCGCGGCTGCCCCACGCCCGCCGGGCCGCGGGCCGGAGCGCGGAGAGGAGGCCCGCGGCGCTGCAGGACGCTGTGAGTGAGAGCGGCCGGCACCGGAGGACCCCGCGAAGCGACCTCACGCCCCGGGAGGGTTTGCTTCCCCGGTGCGGAGGAGAAGCGACCGACCCACGGCACTGCGTTCGTTTTCAGCGTGCAGCGTGATGATCTGATATTCGTGCCTGTTGTGCCTGTGTGGGACGATCGACACAGTAAGTTCCTCTACTGCCCATCGCCCCACGTGGTTACTCTTTCATTCGCGAATTGAATTGTCGGCAAGTCTGTCTCCCATGTGGCGGTTTCCCTGCTGCGGGCGCTTGCGGACACCCGTGGACTCCCGTGAGCGCAGGAGAGCCTGCCCCCCCCCCGTGGAAACATGGTTGCGAGTGATGGAAGCCACTTGGTGGCAGACAGGAGAGACAGGGAGGGGGCCCCCGAGTGGGTGCCCAGGTGTGGCCTGGGGCCCGGGTCACGGGTCTGGGGAGCTCTGGCAGGCAGATCTGGACTCCCTGCGTGCTCACAGCCAGAGCGGCTCGGAGAGACGCGGGCTCCTGCCTTCCCTCCTCACCCCCCACCCAGGGCGTGAGGCTGGGGACGGAGCCTGAGCCAGGTCCCTCACACTGCTGCTCCAGAAAGCCGGGCACTGGCTGGGAACGCTGCCGGGAATGTGGACTGGCCAAGCAGTGCCCGGCGTGACCCACACTTGAAAGCCAAAAAAGAGATTTTTTTTCCCCCAATAGAAGGAGCTAAAAAGGAACATGCTAACATGGGACCTGGGTATAACCAGATATGTTCCTTGTTCCCTGCTCCCGCATACTTCGTTGATTGATCACTCACCACGGCTGTGTTCTGGATTCAGGCTTTCCCCTGGGGACTTGGGCAATCACAGTTCCGAGGGTTAAAGCAAAGAAACATTGCACTCATGGGTACCTCGAGGCAGCTTGAAGCGAAAAGAGAAAGCTGGGTCCTCCTTGTCAAGCTGACAACGGAGTACAAAAAACCCCGTCCACAGAGAACCTGACTGAAGGGCGGTCATGTGTATCAGACCTTATTCCTCCCCACCCCTACCTCGATCAGGTCCCCAGAGCAAAAAACACCAGCAGAGCGACAATGTGGGTAGCTTACAGAGTTATGAACAAAAATTCAAACAAGATTTTCAAGTCTGCCTGGACCCAGCCCTACTTTATGCTACTTCCCAAGTGATTAAATCCATGATTCCCAGCCCTGGTGTGAGGACAAACCCCCCGCCCCCGCCCCGCCCCGGCCCGCCCCGGCCCGCCCGGGCCCGCCCAGGTGTCTATTTCAAGGGCAATTGTGAAATACTAAAAATAATGTGAGGCCCTTGCACTTGAAAACAAGCTCACACCCTGCATTCCCTAAAAGCACTCACTTTTAGAAGAGAAAGAGATTGAGAAATCCAGTAAACAACACTCATCCATCCAACTCCAATAGGCTGCTACAGCAATCAAAGCACCACTTTATATTTGGGTGACACTTTGTGGCTTTGCGGACACTTTTTGATGACTGGGTTTAGTGGCTAAACGTATAAATTAATACAAAAGATGATTGTTCCAGCCTCAACATTTCACTGAGGTGGAACTAGAGGCATGGCCTTCCTCGGGCACAAAGCCATTGCTACATCCTAACTCGTCTGTAGATCCAGCCCGTCAGCCGCTAGCAGAGTCCATGTCAGGACAGAGGCTTGGTCAGCAGCGGAGCAGTCGGGGGTGACAGCACAGTGAGGGGCCATCATCCGCGAGAAGGAAGGGGCATGGCTCTGGCTGCCTTTCCCACTGGGCTGAGCCCCTCTGTGGCTTGAAATCCCAGGAGCAGGAGCAGATGGACAGGTCCAGAGGAAGGAGTCCTCAGCCAGTCCTTTCTCTGGTCGACCGTATAAATTTGGATGGTTACCATTCTTGTTTCACAATGGGAAAAGGGAGGCATTTGGCCCCACATAATGATGTCTTTGTCCAGGACGGTGCCTGTCAATGCAGTCGACCTCATGGTTGTTGGTCTGGATGTGCCTCCCCTGTATGGCATCCCCAGAGTCCTGGAGAGGCCTGGGCCCCAGGACAGGGACGTGGTGGGTGGGGCCTGAGTAGTGCTTGGCCAGCTCCTCCAAGCAACTGCTCTGGGCCTTCACTTCAAGGTCTGCAGAGTGCTCACATTCCTTGCAGTCACTCGCAGGGACTACTGTCATTTCTAAAATTCTAGATGAAGACACGGAGTCTCAGAGCAGCAGGTAAGAAGGCAAAGGAACCCGCTTCCTGGGCTGCTATCCCCAGAGCTGCTCCCCCACTGCTGGGCACCTTGGTTTGCAGCCCAAGACGGGGAGCAGGAATCATGTTCTGAGAGTGACAAGGCCCTCCAAGCGCCCCTGAGGCAGCAGTCTGCTACTAAGGGCACTGATCATGTGGTGGCCATTACTGCAGGCCCTTAGTCCCTCACGGTAGGGAGGGAGGGTATGCATCTTCCTGTTTTGCAGATGAGGGTGCTCAGAAGCTCGGAAGCTCGGAAGCTCGTGAGCAGCAAGGCCCAGGCTGAAATCTGGGGCTATTCATTGCAAATTTCACACTCCTACCAGGCTGGCTGGACTGCTGCCCCTGGAACATCCCTAGAACCGAGGTGGGTTCAAAGACACTACTCCCACGGGGGCATCTGCACCCATGATAAGTTGATTTTTTTTTTAAGACAATGACATGGAAATGGGAGACTGGAGAGCAAACCTGGTATTAAAGACAATAAATACAAGACAAAAACTGAAGAAGCAGTATGTGTAATGGGGACACAGCTCGGTGAGGGGCACGGAGGTCTTCTGCTTTGCTAAGCAGTTTCATCCGTCCCTCTTCTTGCCCCTGGCTTCACCCTGTGCAGCCTTGGGCCAACGTGGCCCCTCCTCCCGAGGTCTGCACCGGGTGCTCCACTTCCCCTGCGATGCCCCGGGGACAGGACGGCCGGGGGTCATGACAGGAGTGCCACCTGCCACTGAGCACAGGACCACAGCCAGAGGGACTGCTCAAAGGGCTGACAAGTGAGGAAGAGACATAATTAGTGAGAGCTCAGCCATTTGCCTCCAGAAGTCTAGCCCAAAGGGGTACATGGAGTGTTTAAAGAGTGAGTTAGAACTGAAAACACAAAAGAGCATTTTACAACAGTCCATGTGACTGCAGGTTGACATTCACACATGCTATGTACAAATGTACTAAATACAATTTCCCAATCCATAGGTGATAGTAGGCAAATTAATAATTTCAACAATCATAATGGCTGTATTTAACAAACAGATATGCTCCTAGAGTTTGGCATTGTTTATTTGTATTTTGGGGAGTTACAGCTACAGCCACAGAAGTCCATCAGGATTCACTTTATCAACTCGGAGACTGAGTGTTATATCATTTTATACCTTACTTCAAAAACCTAGAATTAAAAAAATTTAAAATACAAAAGCACATTTCAGAATAATCTTTATATCCTTTATTTCCTCTTTAGATCTACCATATCTGGCTGTATACTTTAAACTTATTTCAGTGTTTTCCATGTGTAATTAAATCTAAAAAAAAAAAAAAGGCCTCCCTCAGGGTATACTATACATTATAGAGTTTTATTATCATTCTGTATTCCCACTGACACACAATTCCAAAAAGGAAAATCTGGGATCTGAAGTCTACTTCATTTTCTGCATTTGTCATAAAAAGCAAATGTCCATTTTCATTTGGGAAATGGGTTACATTTTATTTTTATTTTTTGAGATTACAGTTTGAAAATCAGATTAAAAGATGCAGTGTTGTCACAGTTTATATGTAGCTTCAAACAGAAGAATGTTCTTAATGTTATCTTTTATCTCATGCTCATTTATTAGTTTCTATGACCAGGTTTAGGTGGAAATAAAACTTCTGGAAATTATGTCATCAAAAATAATGTACCATGCATTCTTTAGTATAAACTTTCAAGAGTCAAGAATGGTCTCTAAATTTCCATTTTTCTGCCAGGGTCCTGGCAGTTTGCAACAAGCATATGATATTTGGTTCATACTATATATACTGTTTTACAAGGATTCAGGCAAATTCAGGTGACACGCATCTTTAAGAGCCTTACAGCCTTCTGCTACTAAAGAATACAGACAAGGCTACGTGGGTAATTTCTGACGCTGTAGTTAACCTGCATGGATGGCAGCGCTGCACTTCCACCAGCTCAGGTTAAAACTTTGGAATCATTCTTGACTCCTTTCTCTGGTTCACCTTCTGCATCCAAATCCACCAGGATGTGCTTTTGACTCACCCCACTGAATCGATCCAGAATCTCCCTGTTTCCCCTGCCGTCCTGAGGTGAGCGCCCACCACTCTGGTCCACCTGCCCAGGTGCTGGTCCGTTTTCAGTCTCTTTTGCACTTGGCAGCCCAGTGGCCCTCTCAGAACGTGAGCCAGCCTTGCTATCCTGCTCTAAGCCCTCCCACAGCCACATCACCCAGAGGAAAAGCCAAGGTCTTTCCCTGCAGAGGCCCCCAGGCCCGCACAGCGCACTCCCTTGCCTCTCGCACCCGCAGCTCCTGCCACACTGCCCTCTGTCACTCTACTCCAGCTGCCAGGACCCCCTTTGTCCTCAGATCCCAGCACGCTCTGGCCTCCAGGCCTTTGCTACCTGTAGCTGCTCCGGGCTATTCATTCCACTTGTTCCTTCAACCCCTGCAACTGTTTACCTAAATATACCTTCTCAGTGAAGCCTGTCCTAAATATTCCTGTTTAGAATGGTAAGCCCCTCCCTGGAACAATGCCACATCTCCCCTACCCTCCTCTCCTTCTCTTCCCATGACCCTTATCATCTTTGGGCACACTATCCAAGTGGCCTGTATTTATTGTTTGATTTCTGCCTTTGCTGTCATGTACGTTCCTTGAAGGCAGCAGGTTTTGTTCTGTTCATTGATGCATCGCAAAACTCTAGAATAGTCCCTGGTCCATAGTTGGCACTCGGTAAATATATGTTGGAGGGATCAGTGCGATGCCTCAGTCTACCTAACAGAGCAATGTCACATGGCTGCAAGGGTGAAGCTCTTTCCCCCTGCCCCCCAACCCCCACGGGCCACAGCTCAATCACACTGAACACTACCAGTGTTCCCGTCTCTTCTGGGCTGAGGTCTACTGTCTTATAGATGCATTTATGGAGTGCCTGTTAGGCTTTTGTTTTTCTTTTCCTTTTTAGCACATTTAATTATCACCATCTCCACCTTTTAAATCTTTAAAAGCAATTTCAGTACCATGGTAAATTAAAACATTTTTTCTCACATGGCTAATTTATTCTGATGTGAGTGCTTTTCCAGGTTTACAATTGAGGCCAATCTCACAAGTAGACCACGTAGGTAGTCTCAAACAGTTGGAAGGATTGAAGTGGGCCCCAAATATCTTCCTCCTGGCAGCATGCTCCACCATGAAGTTAATTGGGGGTGAAGGGGTGCTTACTGAAGTTTGTGATGACTTCCAACTGGGAAGGTACATCCTTTTTTTTTTTTATTTATGATAGTCACACACAGAGAGAGAGAGAGAGAGAGAGAGGCAGAGACACAGGCAGAGGGAGAAGCAGGCTCCACGCACCAGGAGCCTGATGTGGGATTCGATCCCAGGTCTCCAGGTTTGCGCCCTGGGCCAAAGGCAGGTGCCAAACCGCTGCGCCACCCAGGGATCCCGGGAAGGTACATCCTGACTGTTCACTTATTTAGCTACAACCTAAATGGTGGGAAATATATGGAAATACATTATAAGAACGACAAAGTTGGAAACATAAAAAAGCACGTTATAGCAAAAGCTCATTGACGACAGGTGTGACGTTCATACGTCCTGTGTACAATTGTTCCTCTAGATGCCCTTCAGAATGGAACGTCAGTATCTAGTCAGCTGAAGAAAGGAAAAGACTCTATATGCCCAAGACCCAAAAGGCTAGAGGCAACTGTGCTGGACCCTCTGCCAACCTTCCCATGTTCCTTGAGGACTGACTGTGGCTCCAACTCTGACTCCACGGGAAGGCTCAGTTCAAGAGAAAGTTCGCTTTAGGACAGCAATCACTTACTAGGGAAATAGAAAAAGCTCGGTTTACATTTTTAAAGAAAATCACTTCATGACAGAGATAAGTGCAAGACTTTTTTTGTTTGTTTTTAAAAAGATTTTATTTATCTGAGGCAGAGAGAAAGAGAGAGAGAATGAGCAGGGGGAGGGACAGAGGGAGAAGTGGATGCCTCCTGAGCAGGGAGCCAGATGGCAGACTCCATCCCAGGACCTGAGATGATGACCTGAGCCGAAGGCAGATGCTCATCCCAGGCACCCCAAGAGTTTTTGTTTCGAGGATTTTCCCCTATATCTGTGAACTGGGAAGTTACTGTGAATGAGTTGTCTGGCCCCCAAGGTGGGGTGAGAGCAGGCCTTCTGCTTTCCTACCATAGGCACAGGCAGTAGACTCCTATACAAATGAGAAACGGAACAGCTTGGGGCCTGGTACTCAGACACACAGATTAGGGAGCGGTGATGGGGAAGACATTTCCCTCACCCCGTGTGACCACGGTGTACAGAGCATAACCTCTCTGTCCCCCTCTGGAGTGGGGGGTATGCAGAGGCTGATGCACACAGCAAAGCGCTGAGCCCTGTAGCTCTGCATACAGGCTGGTCCACAGGTGTGACCTCTTGTGATATGAAAGGAAAAGTCTTGTTCCCATCCCCACTTACATTTAGGGCTCCCGGGAGGTGTGTCCTCCGTTCTTCACCACCATCCTAGCAGGGCACAGGGTGGGGGACACACTGTCCTCTGAAGGCCCCAAGGCCGCATGGCAAGAATGGCTCTGGTCCCCTCTGTGCCACCCCTACAAGGCCTGCACTGTTTCCTGAGGGAGCTTGTCCTTTCCTGCTTCCCGGTGCCCACCAAGCCCATGGCTGGGCATCTGAGGGTACCGGGGTGAATGGGCCAGAGCCGGGTCTGTCATTTGTCACTGGGTCCTTATTCCATCTGGTGTGTAGGAGATCTCCTAAAGGTGCTGCTGTGCGCCGGGCATTCCCCCAGATGCATAAGGGTTTGAAATGGGGGACATCGTGTCATCAAAAGCTTTATAAATGACACCCCACTCCCGGGTGAGCCCAGTTCCTTCCGTCTTTGCTGGACTCCTTGGGAGACCGAACTGCAGCTCTGTCTGCACAGGAATCTCGGCTTTGGCAGCCCCCAGGGTCCGCTGATTGGACTCATGGGTTCACCAAGGGCACTGCCAGGATTAGCGCTCTGGAAAAGCCCTCAGTTCCCAGCACCCACCGGCCTGCGCTCGGTGGGGCGGAGCCTGGGCTCCTGGTGGGTGCAGTCTGGTCCGGGCTTGGGCGGGGCCCGGGGTGGGGCGGGGTCGCAGGCAGCACGCAGCAAGCTGGGGCGGGAGAGCAGGCTCAGGTCTGCACCCCTGGGAGGGTCTGGTCGGATCGCCGGAAAGACGGGGTCCGCTAGTCGTCTTGTGTTCACCCCGTTCCTCCCTGACACACAGATAAACTGATTATCTTGAGACAGACTCAGGCCCATTAGAAACGAGCTATTGCACAGGTGAGATGGGCTGGGACCCTCCGCTAATCAAAATGGTTTCAATGTTTTTGTGGTTGAAAAATCACAAT